TGCAGAGTGCATTTAAATAACCTAGATGACATAAGTCAGTAACAGTATGGCCTCCTGATGGAGCAAAGGGATGTAGAAAAATCATGGTGGCACATGCCTTTAATCCCACCTTCTCTGGAGGCTGAGGCAGAGGAGGATCTCAAGTTCAAGGCTAGCCTGGGCAATTTAACCAGACTCTGTCTTTAAAAAAAAAGAAGTAGTATGAGGCTGCTGCCAGACTAACATGGCATATTGTTTCATAGTAAGCTTTTTTAAAAAAAAATAAAAGTACATTCTAATAATAAAGAATAGAATAATAAACACAAACCACTTTACACAATTGTTGCTGTTTTAAAGTAGTAAGTACTTTACATAATTGTATGGACTGTACTTTTATATGCAGTAGATTCTATTTACCCCAGCTTCACCACAGACGTATGAATAATGTATTAAGCAATGATATCATGAGGTGGTAGGAATTTTTCAGCTCCATTATAATCTTCTGGGATCACTGTTTTATATGTGGTCTGTCATCTTTATGTCAGGCATTACTGTACTTAAAAAACAGGGTGTGCCTGATTTGACCTTTGGGTTTGGTTTTCATACTACTGCTTTATGGTAAAAAATCAGTAGGGAATTGACAATTGTAGCATAGAAGTTTAAATTTTGATGTTCAATTTTGTTAAAATTTTTTAATGGTTTTTATTTTTGTTATATCTGAGAACTACTTGCCTAACTAAAGAGTTTCTCCTATATTTTCTTCTATAAGTTTGATAGTTTTGTATTTTGTATTTAGGATTATAATCTATTTTGAGTCAGTTTTTGTATAAAGTGGGAGTTATGGATTGTTTTTTTTTTTTTTTTTGGTACCGGGGATCGAACTCGGGTCCTTGCGCTTGCGGGGCAGGCGGTGGCACCACTGAGCTAAATCCCCAGCCCTATGGATTGATTTTTAATTTGTCCAGTTGTTCCATAGCCATTTGTTGAGAACTGTCTTTTCTCCAGTGAATTCCCCTTGTCTCTTTATCAGAAACATTGACTGTGTACATGTGTGCCTGTGTGTGAACCCTTGCATTCCACTGATCTTTGTCTGTGTGTGTGTGTGTGTGTGTGTGTCTGTCTGTCTTTGGTTTTTTTTTTTGCCAATCCTGTAGTCTTGATTACTGGGGCTACAGCAGTCTTAAAATCAAGTGATGTGAGTTCTCCAACTTTATTCTTTTTCCAAATTACTTTGGTACTTTAGGTCCATATAAATTTTTAAATAAGCTTGTCATTCTCTATATAATTTTTATAGATTTTGGTAGGAATTATGCAAAACCAGGATATTTAAAGTTAACATACCTAATAAAAATTAAAATCCTTAAAGGGTTGTAGAAGCAAGGTGATGAAGTAAACATATATTAAGTGTAGGCTTTGACTAGTCCACAGTGTATTGCATAATGATTACTTATGAATCTAAAATATAAAGTAATAAATTTTTCATCTTTTTAAAATGTGTTTTGTTAATTTTAAAACAATTCAAAAGCCCAATGGTAGCTTTCCAAATCTCAGCCTAATACCTAGGCCCATGAAGAACTGCACCCTACCAGTTTACCATCTTTTAATGGGCCACTTATGCAGTCAAGTTAATCTGAGTTGGTCTTTTCAGGTTAAATTGTCCTTTGATATCCAGGAGGATTCTTTGTTATCCAAACCTGATGTTCAAGTCTATAATATAAAATGGTGTACTATTTTCATATAACCTTTGTATGTCTTCCCATGTGCTTTAAATCATCTCTAGATTTCTTTTATTATCTAATGCAATGTAAATTCTATGTAAATGGTTGTACTATTTACAGAATAGTAACTAGAAAAAGTCTGTGTATGTTCAGTACAGACAGAATTTTTTTCAAATATTTTTCATCTGTAGTTGATCGAATCCACAGATGTGGAATCCATACACATTGCGGGGTGTCTGCAGTTGGTTGGTTGTTCTCAGGCTTTGTTGGTGCCATCCATTTATCTTGAACTTTGGCATTCTAACTCTTCTGACAAGACTAACAGTAAAATATATTTTACATTGGAAACCAGTACATACATATCTGTATATGCCTGTGCATATGTATATATTTCTGTTTTAAAGTTTCTCAGAACAGCAACTTTAGCTATACATGGTATGTGCTAATATTCCATTTTTTAAAAATTTGTTTATAATCCACTAAATCCATTTAAATGATCCACAAATGGGTCATACCTTGAATACCACTGATCTAGCCAGGCATGGTGCCCCTTGCCTATAATCCTAGCACTTTGGAGGCTAGGGCAGGAGGATTGCAGCGAGTTCAAGGTCAACATGAGCAATATATAGAGACCCTGTCTCAAAAAACAAACAAAATCCTGATCTAGTCTAGAGTAACCCTTCTCCAAGAATCTGTATTCGTCATTTCATTTAAAATTCAACTTGTCCACTCTTGATTCCTCTGAGAACCTTCCATACACCTTCTACTGGCAAATGATTCTATTGCATTTTAGTTCTTAATTTGTTAACCTAGAGAAGTATGCATTAACTGTTTCTTATAACTATTTTAGTGTATGTGCTACTGATGCAAGCACCCTTTCTTCAAAACTAAAGTGTAAGTTATTGAAGGCTATGACACTTGTTTTATGCTTATTTAATTATGTTCTGAAGATACGGAATATTTCCTGATCAAAAAATGTAGAAGAAAATAAGTTATGCATTAAACAGTGGTTTTTCTATCTTAGTATTAGAAATCAAATTGCATCCCATTGGAAACTGGAAACTGTACTTTATCTCAGGCATGTAAATTTAACTGTTTGGTATTTAACAAAAGATTCTACTGTTGAATAGATTGTCTTGTGAATTTGATGGTTGTTTGGGCCTTGAAGTACTTACACACACTGTTGTATATATAGTTTTAGAGGAGTTCATGGAGATTAGATTATGTTCCTAACCCAGATGATTCATGAAGGAACTATATAAATGATCTGGAAATGTTTTTCAAATGATTCACTTAAGGATCCCTGGCCCTATGGATAATCAGTAGATACTTAGGGGCTGGTCGTTGCACGCCTATAATTCCAGTACTTGGGAGGCTGAGGCAGGAGGATTGCTGTGAGTTGGAGGCCAGCCTGGGCTACCTAGTAAGTTCAAGGGCAGCCTGAAGTTATAGTGATACCCTGAAAAAAAAATAACAGTTAATGAGAGAAAATTTGATAGTTTTTTTAAGGCATCTTAAAAGAAATTGTGCCTTTTATGCTTTATAACTTATCCTTTTATATTAAATTTTAGAGCAAGATTAGTAGTTCATTTGACTTAATCATAATACCTTTTGTTTCCTTCTCTTTATCTAGAATTGTCTTCCTTGTTCCATCCCTTAATGTATTATGCAATGTGTTATATCCTTTGTATATATTTCTTAAATGTCACCAGCTGCATTTCAGATTCTTTATCAGTATTTTGCTTCTGTTTTACAAATGAAGAACTTGAGGTTCAGAGAGTATTTTATCCAAAGTCTTACGAGTGATGGCAAGGATTAAAATTCAGTTTGATCCCAAAGCCTTGGTTTTTCTACCTTGTATATTATAACCTGCCCTAAGACTTATTTTTTTTAACACTGTCTTTTTGGTAAGATTAGAATCTTTTTTTGGGGGGGGTACCAGGGATGGAACTTGGGACCTTGCACTTGCGAGGCAGGTGGCAGCACCACTGAACTAAATCCCCAGCCCCAAGATTAGAATCATTTTAAAGAAAGACATCTTCTGCTTTACTTAGTATTTAAAATATACTCAAAAGGAAGAATTTGAAGTGGATAAATTATAAATGAGCTCCTTAAAGGTAAGAGGAGCTATGTCTTTTTGTCATAATTTCTCATTGTTTAATGTAGCCCTGAGTATTTGAGTGCTTAATGTGATGCAATAGGAAATATATGTTTGGTCTTTGTCTCTGGTTCCTGACATCTGTGGAATTTCCTTAGTGATAGGAGTGATAAGAGTGTCTTTTGTTGCAGTGAGGCACTTCCTGCCTGGACCCTAGATAGTTTTGGGTTGGTGGCTGGACATCAGAAAGATCAAGGCATGATTAGAGGTTGGAACAGTCCCATCCCTTAGTTCTGGAGAAAAAGTAGAGTTTACACACCAGTGGCCAGTGATTTAATTAGTCATGCCTGTGACTTGAAGGATTTGTAAGAGACCCTAAAGGATGGTATTTAGAGATCTTCTGGGTTAGTGTATTTATCAAGATCCTGGGAAAAATAAACCATTAATAGTAAGTAAAACCTTCCTGAGTTCCTGAACCCTCTAGCAAATTAGTGGACCTGAAGAAGGGGTAGCTGCATGGTCAGAATTACAGGAGGCCAATGACTTGGGGTCCGCATCTGAAGTGGGGCAGTCTTGTGGGATCTGAGGTGAGGGAGATGGTGTCCAAATTGAAATGATACCCAGTTGCTGTCTGCAGAATTGGAGATTAGTTGGTATGAGGAAGACACTCACATGTTTAGTGTCAGAAGGATTGAGAATGAAAAACAGCTAAGAATGACACATGCTGGAGTTTGGTTCCAGTTTGCATTGTTACCACTTCTTTGTTTAAACTTTAGTTTTGATTATGAAGTTAATATCAGAGGTTGTTCTGTCATACCTCCAATATACTGTGAATTCGAGATTCAAAACACCATTCTGTATGTTCTAGTTTGGCCATAAATGTGTTGAATTGGGAGGAAATGTAACTTTGTTACATTTTTTTTCTCTTTTGTTGTTGTTTGTACTGGGGATCAAACTCAGGTCCTTGTGCTTGTGAGGCAGGTGCAGTGCCACTGAGCTAAATCACTGGCCCTGTTATGGTTTTTTTTGAGACTTGGTCTTGCTGTGTAGCCAGGCTGGCCTGGAACTCTTAAGAGATCCTCCTGCTTCTGCCTCCCAAGTATGCCACCATGCCCAGCTTTTGTTGTGGTTTTGATTAAGTTTTTCTTCAAAGACATAAACTTACAGATGGAATTTGCTAATTGCTTTCTCTTGCTTTTTCACAGGCACTTGAGAGGCAGCACAGTGCATTTGCAGTGCTTGTACCCACTTACAGTGCCGACGGACAAGAGTAAGTACTTCCGACTTTGCCAAAATGCCTTCTGGACTTGGGTATGACTCTGGGCAAGTTAATTTATCAAAGCTTGATTCCTTATTTGCAGAGTGGGGATGGCATTAATACCTAATTTAGTGGGCTCTACTTTGAGAATCAGTTGGTGCCTCAGGAACACACTCAGGAATACATAGTACTTGGTGTATACTTAGTATACCATAAATATTAGATAAGAGGGAGATAGAGGACAAACTTGGTTTGTGGTATTAGATGAGGTAGTCATGAACTATTATATTTAGATATATTTTAGGTAGATTATATGATTATAATTTGATTTAGTAATTTTATAGAAGCGTGTGAATTGATTATTAGAATCTGAAACAATGATAAAAATTGTAATTATTTACTGAGGTCAGCTTTTTCATCTCTGAAATAACAGTGAAAGTGGGGGAAGAACAGCTTACTTACTCAGTGAGATGAAATTGTTCCACTTTTATTTTTTTAGATACTAGGAATTGAACCCAGGGCCTTTGCACTGAAGTACATCCGCACCCCAACCCCCTTTTTTTGAAACAGTCTTGTTAAATCACTAAATTGTCCAGGCTGGGCTTGAACTTTCCCAGAGTGCTGAGATTACAGGCATGCACCACCACGCCCAGCTTCTACTGAGCTTTACCAGTTTTTTTCCTTTGACTCTCACACATTATTCTAAGTTGTTTTTCACTACATTTTTTTTCTGTTTTGTAGTGTTGGAGATTAAACTGAGGGGCTTGCGTGTGCTAGGCAGGTGCTCTACCCCTGAGCTACATCCATAGCCCACACTTCATATTTTAAAATGGACTTTAAATGACTCAGTTTCTATAGCTGGGTTTAATTGTAATGATGTAAATCATATGTTTGGATAAAATATTTGTTTAATTTTACCAATGTTAATGTGTTTGTGTTAATTTTTGTCTTTACTTCTTTTTTTCCTTTTGTATAATAGATGTCTTTCATGTATGTCTTGGGCCTTATATTCTTTTCCCTTTATACAAGTTTTTTTAAGATCCTTTTCCTCCCTTCAGATAACTCTTGCGGCATTTTCTACAGTTCTGCCACAGCACTTACCAAATAGCATTGCAATTGTATTGGGTTTGTTTGATCACTTATTTGATTTCCATGCTAGATTTTAAGTTTCTTAAGGAAAAGGGCTGTGCCTCAACAACCTTTTTCTTGACAGTGATTTTGCAAGTGTTTAGTACCAAGTGAGTACTTAGATTGTTGAATAAAAGTGTAGTTAACCCTTTTTAACTATAGGACTTCCAGTATCGTAACCTTCTACATTGATCTTTTGCTCTTATCTCTTGTTAGTTTAGAATATCCCAATATGATATCCTCCCTCTAAGGCAGTCTGGTCAAAATCACATTATTCTGCAATCAGCCAGCAATGCTATGATACTAAAAGTTCATTGGATTCTAAACTTAGTTAACTTTGTATTCTCATCAGTCTTCCTTGTCAGATTGTTTTTGTTTCGTGTTCAGGTGACTCAACCCAATTTCTGGTACTGAAAATAGTCTCTCTTGTCCCTTCTTCTAATTTATAGATAACTCTAGATATAGTTTTTTATTAGTTTTAATTTTGATTAATATTCCTGTTGTGACAACTTTAAAGTAGTTATTTGGTATTTCTTCATTGTCAGAGCACTATCCCCCCACCTCCAGTGCTTTTATTTCTTGTTTTGTTTTGTTTTCTTTTTTGAGACAGGTCTCACTATGTAGTTCTGACCAGCCTTCAACACATTGTGTAACCCAGGCTGGCCTCAAATTTGAGATTCTCCTGCCTCAGCTTCCCATGCACTAGGAATACAGGCCTTGGCTACCATGCCAGGCTCCAGTGTTGTGTTTTTTAGGTAGAGGTAATCATCTACTAATTTGCTGACCTTTGGAGCATATTTTTTCTTTCAGTAAGGCTGCAAATCACTTAGGGTCAGAAGTTGGAGTGTCTTACAGTGCTGTTTTAGAGGCATAAAACTTTTAGACACATGTGTTAGAATAAATAATTGATTCAAAGAGATAGAAAAATCTATATGGAATACATTGAAAGCAAAACAATAGTCATGAGTTTGCCAGTTAGGATTCTGTGAGTGTCGTTGTGAATTATTACCATGATAAAACAATGCAATCAGATTTGTGAACCTGACTTTCTATTTTTTGCAGTGCTAGAGATCAAAGCTAAGGCCTCACACATCCTAGGCAAGTGCTTAATCAGAGTCACACCCCTATTCTGACATATTTTAAAGTGTTGATGGTCCCCTGTAATTTGAGTTTTTTGTTTTGTCTTATTTTGTTTTTGAGACAGGCTCTCACAATGTAGTTCTGGTCGGCCTTGAATTTATTGTGTAGCCCAGGTTGGTCTTAAACTTACTTTGTAGCCCAGGATGACCTTGAACTCTTGGAGATCCTCCTGCCTCAGTCTCCTAAGTGCTGAAATACAGGCATACCATCACACCAGCTTTTCTGCATTTGTTTTTAAAAAATATCTTTGTATTTTTTTCTCTCCTGCATTATAAAAAGTAGCACATGCTTTTTTGTGTGAATATCTTATATCCAACTTGCAAAAGTTAGAAAGTAGGAACTGTGAGTAGGAACTATTATTCTCACTTTTCAGATATATTAATTTAAAACAATGTGGTATATATCATTATAAATTTTTTTGTTTTTGTTTTGTTTTGTTTCTGTGGTACTAGGGATTGAACCCAGGGTCTTCATACTGAGTTATATTCCTAGCTTTTTCTTTTTCTTTTTTTATTTAATTTTAAGACAGTGTATCACTAAGTTGCCCAGGCTGGGCTCAAACTTAATGATCGTCCTTCCTCACCCTCCCCTAGTTCTGTGATTGCAGTTGTGCCCCACCATATCTGACTATGGTTTTTGTTTTTTTAATAGAATCAACAATACCTAGGGCTGGGGATTTAGCTCAATGGTTTTGCCACTTGCTGTGCAAGTGCAAGGACCTGAGTTTGATCCCCGGTACTAAAACAAAACAAAACAAAAAAAACTAATACATGTCTGCATCTCTGTGTTGTTCCCAACTGGACATTATTGGTCACTCACACATATATACAAAAATGTTATACCAAAGTAACTGTTTTCACATTTATATCATTTTTTGTTCTACAGTATTTGCAAGAAAAGGTTCATTGTTACTATAAATTTCTTGGGGAGAACAGCAAAAAGACCGTGTTAGAAACTGAGAGTTGGAGCCAGAGATGTAGTTTAGTGGTAGAGCACTTGCCTAGCATACACAGGCTTTGTGCTGGGGGAAAAAAAAGATTTAAAAAATTTCTATAGTATCAAATAAATCAAAATATGAAAGAACTTACCTGCACGGTCCTTTCCTCAGGAAGCTGTTAGAGGACTCAAAAGAATGAAATAGAAATGGTAGAGAGGTTTTTTTTTTTTTTTTTTTTTTTTTTTGCAGCACCAGGGATCGAACTCGGGACCTTGCACTTGCAAGGCAGGCATGGTGCCACTGAGCTAAATCCCCGGCCCTGGTAGAGAGTTTAATGAAAAGACTTCGCAAAAATGTAGGACAGCATAAGGGAATTAACAAAGATGATGAAGCACCCTAGGAGTAGCAACAGCAGGAAACCATTTAAACCTGGGCCTGAAGGAGCAAGGTAGGAATATGTACTTACTGGAATTTACCTAGAACTATTCTTGTAGAAGTGAATGGGAATTGTGGTCTCAAAGAAATGGAACCTTTTCCAGTCCGTAGGTGGATGCTGGGACAGTAAAAAAACCCAACCACTCTTTCCTTCCTCCCAGTGGGAACTTCCTGCTGGGTGGACCCTCTGAAAGACAAGAGGACAAGAGAATATAGGTAATGAGGCCTGTGGATTCAGCCTTCTGGAGCCTGGAACAGATAGAGAAAAGTGATGAGAGGAGTCGAGAGAACATATCCAACTGAGAGCAGGAAGATGGAGGGCTACAGAAGCCATGTCACATACACAGATAAAAATAGATTACCCGTCTACTGTTTGAATGTGTATATTAAAAAATATGGTGCCAGGGATTTGGCTCAGTGGTTCCGCCGCCTGTTTCGCAAGCACAAGGTCCCCAGTTTGATCCCCGGTACAAAAAAAAAATAAGAAAATTTTAAAAAATGTTGATTCTTCTACCAGAGAATGTGGGTATGTATATTAATGGTTTAACTAAAAAAATTAAATATGGCTCATAGGGAGAAGAAATTGATATGATAGAGAGCTAATTTTAATCTTCCTCATTAGATGGTCATCAGATACATTTGTGAGTGAAAAGAACCCATAAGAAATGATATGTATGTGTATGTTTGATCTATGGATAACAACTATTTCTTTACATGTTACTACATTCAAGATGAAACAGCCGAAAGTTAGATGTTGTTCTCTGGAAATAACTCGATAGAAGTGGTGAATTCTTTTTTATAGTAACTTTGAGGGAACCATTTAGTTTATAACAAAAACTATATTCAGATACATATGTAGTTATAGGTCACTTAGCTATAGATTCAAAACATACAACACAAAACTTTTATCAAGGGCCCAGTATACTGTATTTTCCCCAAAATAAGACCGGATCTTATATTAATTTTTGCTCCAAAAGATCCAATGCTTATTTTTAGGGGATGTCTTATTTTTTCATGTACAATCTATATTTACTCATTTATTTATGTACAGAAATCTGTTTATTCAAATACAGGCATGTCTTCTGGAACATCATCGTAAGTCTCAAAACCCCGAATTTCAGCACGAAGTTCTTGGAGCTCCCTTTCCTGTGTAACCATTGGCCCCAGTCTCTCATGTCCAGCAATAGACCTCTCCTTAAGCGAGCATTTCTTGTCCACGTAGCCTGCTCATGGTGCGTTGGCAACACAGCTGTGAGTGATTTTATTCCATGAATTCTTCACCAAGACACCAACACTTTCAGGCTGGGCTTCACAAAGTCTCCATTAAATCATATGTTACGTGAAGACTTACGGAGACAGGAGTGGCAGCAAA